AGGGGCGGCCGCAGCGGGTGTAGGTTTGCCATCAGGGTGCTGGCGGTGAGGTGGGAGAGGGTGGGGGGACGCAACGACCCTCAAGAACCCAGGGTTTAATCTCCGCTGCTGGCCGGAGTGTCCTCCTAATTACATCCACCGGAATTTGTCAGTGTGGAGCCGTGCTGCAGTCCCGCTTGTGGCGCTTTCCTGCCCGCCGTTTGGCTGCTGTTGATTCCTGCTTCCTGGGCTGTTTTCCTCCCGAATAAGTTATTGCTGCTGTAGGGAAGGTGTCCCATTGCTCAGGGCTAGAGCGGAGGGGAGTGAAGGGGAAGTTTCTTGGGAAGCACTTCCATTGTGCTCGGAAAGAAAGTGGCTCAGTGTCCTCCTAATGCATCTCATCTCCCCTCTGCCCTCTCTCCCCTGCTAGGACTCGCCAGATCTTGGGAGTTTCTTGCTGCATTAATTTACTAAACTAAAAAAAAAAAAAAAGACAGAAAAGAAGGAAAAAAAGGAGGGGGAGGTGGAGAGAGGGAAGGCAGAGGGGAGGGGGTAACTCAGCCTCTCCACCATCCCAAGGCCCTCCTCTTAGCTGTGCTCATTGGTCTCAGGGCTGAAAAAACTACTCTAGGACGTGGTTGGATAAACGCATGTTGTTCAGCAGAGGCCGTTAACCTTTAAAGCGCTGATACGTTTTGGTTTATTTCAATTTTTTTAACCCGAATTGCTGTCTTTTTAAGAAGTCTCTGAAATCGTCTCCCTTGACAGGGCAAGCAAAACGTGCCTTAAATCTCCATCTCGTGGAAGATCTGCTTGGCTGGCAGCTGATGTGTGTTGCTGTTGGGTTTTAAGGAACATCTCTGTGTTGTACTTCTTTTGTTGTTTAGCTTTGATTTAGTATTTTTTTCCTTTTTCTCTTTGTTTTATTTGATTGGTTGTTTTTGGTCTTTTGCATTTGGTTTTTCAAAGAGCTTTGGCAAACACCAGAGCCATCAAGGCCAGGGCAGGTAAGGAGCTTTCAGTAGTTTCTGATCACAGCTCCAGCTGTGCTCGCAGGGTGCTGAGCTGCTGGTCGGGGCGGGGAGGATTGGGCTCCTTGGTCACTTTGTCAGTGTCACTCTGCTGCTTCTCATCAACTTCTGAGAATTGAAACTTAGCTCTCTTAAATAATCCAGGATTAATTTCCTTTTCTTCTCTATTGTCCCACTGTATTGGGATTATTCTTCTTTAAGTTCTGTTTTGTTTACTTGTCCTGTGCTTTGCAAAACTCCCCACGGCAAAGGTTTGATTTAACCCCTGTTTAGCTGTCATTAATCTGTTCAAGGACTCTTCTTATCCCACATTAAAGGGTGGAGGATGGCTGCTTTCTCCACCACTATTGTAGCCCCTCCAGGCTGGGAAATAAGTACGTTTTTTCTTCTCCTTTTGAGTTGCATCTCAAAGGACCTTATTGCCATACTAGAATTCACCTGATGTTTTTGATCTTCTGATTTATTTTAATTTTTTTATTTTGGTTCATTTCATTTTAATTTTGTTTTGTTTTAAAGCAGTGTGTCTATGTAGTGAAGCAGACAGAAATATCCTTTGGGTCACCATTCAAAAGAAAAGAAAGACCTGCTTGGCTTCTAGCCACTGGTAGAGTGGGAATTTAATCGGATTTACTCCAGCTCCTGGGTCTCAGTGTCTGGATAGATTAATAACAGGCTCTGATTTCACCTCATGGAGATTCCTGGGGACGTGATTCCATGCAGCACTCCCTGCCTGCTGCTTGCTGGCTCCTCGCTGTCCCTTCTCTCCTGACATTTGTCCCCACATGGATGAGCCTCTGTCGCTGTGCTTTTCCAGCCCCCTGTGTGCTGACAGACCAGAGGAGGAGCTCCAGACCGAGAGTGTTAACAGGACCCACACAGCAGAAAAGAAATGGTCTTTCTCTGTTTTGTTTTTTTTTTACTGGGAAGCAGTACAAAGAGCAGGAAGCAGAATCATCTCTTGGCATCTGCGGGTTAATTGTAGAGGCTGTCAGCCTTCTTGTTCCCTTAGAAATGGAAATGGGCTCTGTAGGAGATAGGAATGTCTCATGTGATATTTCCCTTGCTTGCAAGTTTGATCTTTATACCAAAGGAATCTGGGTTTGTCTCCTCTTGTCCCCGCTTGCTGCCCTTGCACTCTCTTGGGCCAGGAGAGCGGGGGGTGGGTTTGTGCTTTAGATCAAAAAAGCAGATAAATCTGTATTTATATAGGATAAAGAGTCTTCTTGGCTGTTAGTGTTGAAGGGTCTCAAAACTGCTTTTCCCAGGGAAAGAACTTCTCTGCTTTGCTGTCATTTCTCCTGGTGATGATGGTGACCAGGGGGCCCAAGGACTCTTCAGGTGATATTCAAATATTTCTTCCTACTGGAGAGAAACCGGAGCATTGTTTGCTTTGAAATTTGGAGAAATGCAGGAAAAACCCAGGTTGCAACAGAGATTTGGAGTAGGTCTAGGCACTGAGGTAATTTAGACCAGAGAGTAAAAAAAAAAAAAAGTGAATTTAGGGATATAAATTCTGCATGTTTTATTGGGATGGCACCAAAAGTACCCGCACATTCTGCTTTACATTTTTGCATGTGCTGTGCTGTCTCACTCTTAACTGCTTGCCTTGGTACAGTGCCCTGCACTGTGCTATGTGAACATGTCAGGCCTTGGCCAGGATGATTTCTGATCCTTAGAATTCACATCCTCTGATTTAACCCTGGTGGCTCCAGAAACAGCCTCACTGACATCCATCTGTACTTTGTGTTCTGTAGGTCCTGATGTTCTTTCATCTGTAGATATCTCTGATGAAGTTTCCCACATTTGTTCTGTACCATGTCAGATATTTAGATTGTCTTCTGTTCTCCAAGAAGTTAAGGGCAGATAAACTGGAAATCGAATAATGTCTGCAATCAAATTTATCACTGCTACTTTAAGTCACCCTTGTCATCACGTACTTCTCTCCCTGGGTCTGTCCTGACTCCCTCTTAGACCAGGTTTTAGCTTTCTGCTTCGTTTTGCTGCAATGGTTTGTGATTTATTTTTTTAGGGGAAGGGTTCACTTGCCAGGTCTGCTCCTTTTCAAGCAAAGTCCAAATGGTTTTGAAAGGCATTAGTCTTTCTCTGGTGGCACTTGCACAAATTCAGAGTTGAAGATAACTTATCATTATGTCAAATGAGGCTCTAAAAATTAGAATTACCTGCTGCATGTTCATCTTGTTTTTAGTTTCAAAATAGGTGAGTCTTGTAAAACTCTCTTGTAGGTGAAATTGTCTGGGAAGATTCTTTGTTATCTTCTTTTTGGGCTGTGAGTGATGGATTCTCTTCAATGTAAGACACCACAAAGACAATGGTTTTTATTTGTTTTTCAGCACTGAACTAAAACTTGGGGACATCTGCTGAGAAGGGTGTGCATGAGGACTGATAAAAGCCAGGGAATATCAGTTTTTCCTTTATGTGGCTCCTCCCCGATCCTTTCCCTTTGAGAATTCTTTTCTGTGAAGAAAACTATTCTTCCTGGTTGGCTGTGGCTTCATTTTGATTTTGATAGTTGACAGAATTGCTTAAAGACAAGGAAAACAAAAAACGCCTTGGAAATCACCCTGTAATGGGGTGACCATGTCACCTCTATGCTGAGAATTAACCTAAAGATTCATTCACAACTGCAAGTTGATTTCATTCCTGATCTATTTTCCATCTCTGGATTTTACAGTAGGTAGACTCATTTTAGACTCTTCTTGCTTTTTAGAATTCAAAATCTGATAATAAATTCATCCTGGTGATAAACTCCTTCTAGTTGACCATGCACTGCCTTCCTTCCTCAGATAAATGATAGAATTTTTGGTAAAGAGGTGGCCAGCACAGCAGTAAAGTACACTCAGCATTATCCTGGGAATACAAAATCCATTATTGTCAGTTTGTTCTTTGGAGAATGGCTAATGAGGAAACAGTGCCCCAAGAACTTGGATTCTGCTTCCCAAGGCAGAGATTCAAATTGCTACAGCAGCACTACTTGCCTTTTTGACACTGAGCAAATGAAAAACAAATTTTAAATTAGAGTTAAGTTCACAGAGTTTTACAAGGTTCTATAAAGTAATTTCCTATTCAGCTAATTTCCATGTCGAGTAAGCTATTTCTATGCAAGATGGTTCAAGTAAATACAATTTTCTTAGAAACTTGAGAACCTGGAATTCTTTTTTTTTTTTTAAGAAAGTAATTGCTGGTAAAAAAACACCATAAAGTGTTTCTGCAATAAAGTGCAGAAAAAGATTCTTTACTTAAAAGATGTACAGATGAAAGAATTAACTGGAACTGTAAAGGTCCATCTTCCACTGCTTTTGGAAGTATCCATAGTCTAAAAATATTTTTAGAATTGAAGACTGATGAAAAGTTTTGTAAATTCTCTTTTGATATGCATTGGCTCTTTGGAAAACAGTCACTGGTATCTTGTAAGGGAAATTCAGCAGCCCAAGACTGGAAGGCTACAAGGGATGGAGGTGAGGGATTTGTGGTGTAGGTGATTGATATTTTTGACTGAAATTCAGAACAAATATCACAATTTGACAGCCTATTATGCCATGTGTTTTTAAAATTACAAGTCTAACTATATTTGAGATTCGCACCTACAACTTCCCCTGCAGACAGAGCAGTTCCATGGATTGTCCTTGACCTTCCCACTCCTGGGCACTTTATTTTTTGATGAGTAGGAACTGATTTCTCATAATGGGAAACATGGACCCCATGAGCCTGGTGACATCCAAGCTGTGATCACGGACTCTGGAAGGGCAGTGGAGCCCTGGGCTGGGATGACTTTGTGACACACTTTGCAGTGTCATGCAGGAGGCCAAGCAAAGATCTCACTTTGTGTAACATGATTTGAATGTGTGTTTGTCCTCCCATGCCCAGGTTAAGGCAGTAATCTCTGAGGAAGAGGAAATAAAAAAGAATGGATGGTTGTTTCCCCCTAGGAGTGCTGAGTTTTATAAATAAATTTCCATGTCTCATGTGTCACAAAATGATACTCGAGCTGTGAGTAGTCTTGCTGAGCATCACAGGCTTGTCATGGTTACAATTTATGTAGTGTCTTGCAGTAAGAAAGCAGCAAGGACCTTACAGCCCTACAAAAATCACACTGCTAGAATCACAGTGCAATCCTAAAAGAAATTACACTCCCTCTAGAAACCTGCAGTATTTAGGTTAATTGTTCCTGACCTGTACAGAACAATTACCAGGCCATTCCCAAAAATCCTGAAGTATTTCAATAATTTTCACCAATCTTTTTTTTTTGTTACATTACTATGTGAATGAAAAGAAGCCAAAGATACTTTTACAGCCAGTCTTGTCAGAACTTCTTGGAAGTAGTTGGAAATATTCTGCAGTTGTAGGAAATATTATCTTACCTTTTAGTGTTGAGTCCATTGCTCCTGCCCTAGCTGCCCTCAAGTACTGTGGGAATTTGAACTTTTCTACCCTTTATCTTGCTTTTAAATGAAAGAAACCCTCTATTTATTTTGTTGTGAGCAGGCACCAGGTTTTGCAGAGGTGTAGAAGGATTCAGAGCAGACCTAGAGTTATTCACATTACCCTCTTCATTCCTGTTGTCCTGGAATAAAAACAAGCAAAACAATACTTGCTCAATTAAAAAACCCCACACCTGTCAAAAAAAAAAAAAAAAAGTCCCCAAACTAAAAAGATATAGGAGGATAAAGAGGGAAATAAATGGAAACAAATACATTGAACACTTTCATTGCTTCACTTGTCTTGTGAATTCAATACACTGTGTGTGGGAAACACCAAGAGTGGAACCCTTTAGAGGAAAAGTTTGACTGCAAATGACAGACTTGGAAAGGAAATTGAGAAACAACCAGTGATGCTGAAGTGGTCCCTCAGTGTCCAAATGCTTGGATACAGGAGCATCCTCTTACATGCCCCAATTCACTCATAGGACCAAGCAGCAAAATTTATCTTCTGGAGTGAAAAAAATAATCTGCATTTTT